TTCGACTTTGGACAACATGACATCAGACACTGACGTAGTGGGAGCAGAGTATTCACTGTTGACATCTTCATATGTAATACATAAATCTTTTGCAGTTTGAAAGGTACAAGAAGGAATCTGAATTAACTCTTTCTCTAACTTGGGAATGTTGATTCCAGCAATTAGACGATCACGTAGTTGAGTATGCAGCTGATCACCAAAGTTACACTTTGAAGCTTGTATTTGGAGTTGCAGAATAAAGTCTCTAATATTCTGGTTGGGAGCACGAACCAGTTTATTGAATTGAGCCCTCTCTCTTGTCTCAAAAGTAGTTACACGAAAGTGATTTATCAGAAGTTCACGAATCTTGTCATATGACAGAGAAATGGGTTTATCTTGAAACGACAGAGTCTTTACTAGGCTATATGCATCTAGCCCAATAGCAGTAATGAAATGAGCTGGAATTTTGTCATCCCGAACGTTCTTTGAAATGCACCATGCATCAAAGCATTCAAGGTAATCAGCAATCTCCAGCGGAGAACCATTAAGAGGAAATTTTCCCAGGTTATTTAGTTCCATCGCGACGCCAATTTCTAGTAATTTATTGTAAGCGTAGTATTAGTATTTCAAGATGACCGAAATACAAGAATCCAACCAAAACACAGAGAGGGCGGAATTCAGGAATTTGTATTTAGCTGAATTATTATTCAATTCATATAAGAAACATATTAACAATCAACAGTAAGTATTTAAACAATAGAGAGATAGAAATTGTCAATCACCACAACTTATTTGTAATTCAAGTGTCGGTTTGCGGCAATTTGATTGGTCACAGTATCTCATCGTGAGCTGACATCGGTTGGAGAACCATTGGGAAACCATTAGGGAGGACTGGATAGCTGTTTCGTATTAGTTAGAGACTCTTCGCCAGTACGAGCACACCCCGTTTTAAACCCAAGACATTTATGTTACAAGGTGAGCTCGTAGACGACCATTAAGCAACTGGGATCCGATCACATGGCCCTTGAATTCCAACTTCTAGAGATTCCCTCTCTACATATACCCCACCCGCTAGCCAATGTCCTAAGTCAGCAAATGTTCTCTTACCTGACTTAGTGAACCCAACTGATTACGATCCCCGACTAGAACTAGACAGTAGCTGGTGAGCATCAGATTAATTATCAAGTGTTGGGTTCCAGGGACTTAATTGGTAACTTGTTTGATCAGCTGAGTCAACGAAGTCAGGTTAGGGAACATTTACTCTACATTGACAGTAATGGTAGTCGCACTGCACATATTGAGAATCGGCAGAAGTTGTTGTTCATGAACCATTTGATCAGAATCAGGTTGGCTGAATCGCCTACAAGCTCTCTTGTAACTTAAAGGTTCTCCAGTACCCCCCAGGTTTTTCTAATGGTTCTCTGACTGAAACCAGCTTGCAATCAAACTGTAACCAATGAAATCCCGGCAAATCAACACTTGATAATTTACTGGAAAGCATACAGATATTTAGATAAATTATTGGAACGTTAGTGAAGAAAAAAAAACCTGTAAGCAATAAAGATAAATCAGAACACTTCAATGATTGAAGTGTTAAATGAGTTCCAGGGAAGCGTTTTATTTATTTTTTCGG